TCACCGTCTCTATCAAAACTCCATCTCTCTCCCCAAAACTCAAACTCCATCTCTCTCCTTAAAACTCAAACTCCATCTCTCTCTTAAACTCCATCTCTCTCTAAGGCCCAAACTCCATCTCTCTCTCTAAAACTCTATCTCTCTCATACACATAAGAAGGTGTGTTCGTATTCGAACTCAAACTAAACCCTTTGGCTCGTAAACTCATCGAGAAGTGAAGAGAGAGAGAGAGAGATGGAGTTTTAGATAGAGAGAGATAGAGTTTGAATAGGGTGTCATTTAGTATTTGTTTAGGTAAAAAATTTATGGTCAAAGAGATCTAGGGGGTTTAAGATAGAAAAGATGAAAACTTTTTGCTCACAAGTAATATTTTCAATTATTGAGTCTAATGAGATAGATGTTAAAAATAAAAGATAAAGAGATATTTTTCTTATTTTTTAATATAAAATTATAATAATATTATGTTGTCAATATAACATTATTATTGATTTAATAATATTAATTTTTATTATATTTAATAAAAAAGTACTAGTATCTTACTATATTAATAATAGTAAGTATTAATAATACTGTTATGAAATAATAATAGAATATATTACTGATAAACATCACAATAATATAATAGTATGCATAATAGCATTATATAATAACAAAAACAACAATGGCTACAACACTAATGATAACTATTTTATCATTATTTTGGTCAAATACAGATGGCATCAAAACATGGATATACGTGGTCCACCAATTTTGATGAAATATACATCTCCACATTTTGGCCTCAAAATATTGATATAGATATTCACCTGGAGATTTAAATTCCATGGCCAAATGGCATATGCAGAAATACCCAGCCTCCATGGAAATGAATCTTTCATGGACACATTTCAAGTATCCAAATCGGCCCAAAACGAGAAAATATACAATAAGACTATTTACCCAACTTTGACCCATATTTCTAAAATTGACAGGCTAACAATGTCGCATTGATTAAACTCAAAATAAATAAAAAAATAGAAAAACAAAAAAAAAAAATCACACTTTGTGGCTGCTACATACTATTAAATTTCACATTTGATTAATGCGAGTGAATGTTACCACCTTGCATCAAAGATGAATAGTCTTTATAGCATAAAAAACCATAATTAACACATTGGGCAAAAGAATTAGGAGAAGTCTATAAATCAAAATTTTAAAAATCCACTAGAATTAATTACATTTGAACATTTTTAGAAAAAAAAAATGAATTTTGTGTTTCTAAACTTTTAAATCTGACCTTCCAAAAACTGGAATGCTCAATAGTAGAATATTATGTTTTTCATACCAATACAATGTATAAATCTTGGCATTAATTTTCCATTAGTTTGTCGATACGTTGATCATATTACATATTTGGCCCTGAAACATGGGGTCCCAAAATACTTCCACGAAGTTTGAACCAAGGGCATAAACATGTATCATTCTTTCGCGGAAAATGTATCTTTTGGCTTTTTATAAAGCACGGGGATTCTATGAGTAAGCGAACTCATACCGTACATATGCGAGCCCCTACTTCAACCTATCTTAAAAATAGATTTTTAATCCAAAATTTTAGAGATTCATGATCTAGTTTAAGATAATTGCAATAAAAAAAAAAAATTCAACATTTAAAATGTGACTTTTTTAAAAGAAAATTTCTATACAATCTAAATTCACTTTAGCCACATGGGTTTTTTACAACATTCATCTTAGAGATGGATGTTCGTGAGTTAGTCAGCTAGCTCTTGCACCCGCTAACTCATGAATAACTTGTCTTTTTATAAATGGGGTTTTGTACAAAGAAACCATTTGCCTTTTGTACATTAAGGTCATAATCATTCTTGTCACTTAAATTTCAAAATAAGTGGTTACAAGAGTGTCATTGAAAAGACACAAAGTTCCAAAAAAAACAAAAAAAACAAATTCTCGAACTTCATGACTTACCCCAAGCTACTCTATCTACAAAAGATAAATAGTGTATTTATACACAATGCTTTTATAAATACCATACACACAACCAAGCTCACAAAGTGAGTAAAGATTAGGATAAGTATTTGGTGTGCCAGGGCCCGCACCTGCTATTGTGTGGACCCTTAGATTTACACCGTCCAAAATCTTGAATGGCCTGGATTGCACACACATTTCAAAAGAGAGAACAATATGAACATCACCTTATAGTTTCCTATAAAGCATCTGTTACCATAGTTACTTAGAGCAAGAGCAGGAACGGCTCTGATTCCAGGAGTGGGAGTGTCGGATCGAGGGCTTCCTAAAGCTCCGAAGCTCAGGGAGTGAGTTCCAGTGAAGGTAAAAGTTGCAGATCGAGATCCCATATGAACAGGAAGGGCATTCCCAATACATTGGGATCGAAGTCTTTATTTAACCGGAACGTGTTTCATGTAAAATGGGATCGTGTTCCCATGTTCATTAGCATCGTGCTCCCATAAACAACAGGAACAATATCCCATTTAAAGTTGTTGCGCTCCTATCTAAGAAAAATGCATTCCTATTTGGAATGGATCGAGCTCCATTCAAAGTTGGATCGCGTTCCTCTTAGCTTGGAGCCAACTTCCACCTGTCATCTCTCTCTCTCCCTCTCTCTCTATCTCTCTCTCTCCTGACCAGACATTCACCACCTCTTCACGTTCACCACCTCTTCAACCTCTGCACCCCTAATCCAATGGACCCATCTGCCAAAATGCACCCCTCTCTCTCTCTATAACTTCATGAACACATTCGTCTAACTTCACAATGAGTGGACCCTTTCTCTCTCCTCAGAAAGCACAACGGCAACTAAAATCTACATACCCATAGCAACCTCGCTTGATAGCAATTGAAGACTTCCATGGCAATCTCTAAAAGGCCAAACAAGCTCTGAAAATGGCTAAAATCTTCGATGAAAAATTATTCATTGGATTGCAAACAACTCCATGGTTGTGAAGCTTGGTGTTATCCTTGACAAAAGAGGAGAAGAGTTCAAGCTCTTTTATTTTTTAGAAAAACTCAAGCAAGCACAGAGAAATCAAATGGGGAGCTGTTAATTTTACAGGAAAACCATGAAAGCCTGAAGATACAAGGAGATTTCAGATATGTTATAAAAGTTGGCCTTGATGAATTCAAGAATTAGGGTGACTGGTTTTCTATTGGAATTCAAATGAAAAACCTTTGTAAGGGATTGAAAAAGAAAACTAACAAAAAATATCCATCTGAAATTAGGACTAGAGTAGCTGCTTTGAGTCCTGGAGGCCCAATTTGTATGCGTTTTTTAGCTGATAACCCTACTGTTGTAATGGTGGGTGGCTCTACTTTTGCTCATGGTGGGATCCTCCCTAAAGATGGAGTTCTGAGAACGTAGGGATAACGATCCTAAAATTTCAAGAGCGAGGATCTAATTTGTTCGGGAACGCGTTTCGTAGGACAATGGGAGCGAGAACAATATGGTAGCAAGAGCGAGCTCTATTATGAATGGGATTGAGAATCTTAAAAAAAGAAACGAGCTCCAAAAAAGTTGGGAACAGGTTCCGAACAAGATCCCAACCACAAAGTGCCAGAGCTGGGTTTCGGAGCGGGAGCGCCACCGTAGTTGGGTGCTCCCGGTAACTATGTCTGGTACAGCCAAAAAACCATATGAACAGGAAAATGCTTCCATGGAAAATTTTCTCACTGCACAGTAAGAACCAACAAGATCATCTAAACTTCTCTACATCTCATATTTTTCATACTTCACAATTCACAGTCAGCTATTCACAACGCGTACAACACAACTAAACTGAACCAAACCCACCAGGCCCACCACTCCTATCATCCATCTTTCTCAACTACACTAAACTAAAACCACATCTACCTATCACCCCTCATTCTTTCTCTCTCTACTTATTTGCACCATGAACTGCCAAATCAAGTGCTGCCTTGCTCAGAGGACCCGACACCCATAGCCATAGAGCCCAAGCCATTATGTTTAAAGGTATTTTGGGTATTAAATTTAATGTAAGAGACATTTTAGAAAAGTTATGTTAAAAGGTAATTTTGAAATGAGGTAAAAGAATGGTGTAGAATTCAAGATCACAATTCCAAGATTAAGAGATTAAGAGAGAGGAGTCCGACTAAATTTGCAGTTGGGAGTTCAATCACTCAAACTTACTTGGAGTTGGTAGTTCTGGTACCGTGTATAAAGGAACCCTACAAGGAAGAGACCCACAGGTTCTAAGCTCTCTCATGGTATAAGCTTGGCCAAATGGGCGGCCTAAACATACACCGATGGAGTACAAAATGTGGATAGTGATCTCTTGATGAAAAATGATAGTCAAGGCATTGATAGCAGCTCAAGGGTAGAACATTCAAGTTCAATGCTTAAATGCTTCTCATCAGTAATTTATATTGGTCTTTTGTGTAATAAGGCATGACCAAATGAACCGCACAGCATGACAGATGTCTCAAAGATCAAATTACATGACGTGTTTATCGACCTAATTATATCATCTTGTGCCCTTTTTCTTCATTTTGGAATTTTTTTTGATATGTGGGGTCTACATGTTTGTGGACGAGTGCTTATTCATGTAATTTAACGTTCAATAAAACCAAATTATAAGAGGAGAAATACTACATACATTCATCTTGTTTTCTATTCTTTAGGCAAAGGTTTTCTGTTCCAGATTGATTCAATTTTAGAACCCTATGAATTCCCATGATCCCCCTGTTGATGGATCTAGCTTTTCAAAATAAGTCTATAGACGGCATTCCAAGGGGAATAACTAAAATAGTTTCCAAGGAGTTTTGAGTATAGCACTCAAACAATGAGAACTTTCAGTTCATTAAATCAATAACAATACTCAACTAGAACTAGTTAACTACCCAAAAGAAAATTAGGTTTTTAGGAAGAATATCCCCTGCCACTTTTATTCTATGGGTGAGTGAGCACTATAAGAAAATGAAACATCAAATAATTCTCATAGTTTAACCACTATAATCAATATTCAAAAAAAGAAAGAAATTAGAAAAGCTTACTGTGACGATTGGCTATAGAATAATTTGTGGTCAAAACATTCCCAAAGAAACTCCCATCAATACAGCCCCGACTCCACCATTAACAAAGATGAGAGAGAGAGAGAGAGAGAGAGAGAGAGAGAAATGACATTACACATATTAAACTCGTATGATATTCCCTATATAGCCTCATGGTGGGTGGCAAAATTCCCTATAGTGCCACCCTTGCCTTACAAAAGGAACCATAAAAGAATTGAACTGTATGAAGATGAACGCCTCCATAATTTCGCAACTCAATTGTACATGCATTTGCTCTTTCAGAAGGGGCATTTTTTTCAACCAAAACCATGGAATGTAGTAGGTTTATAAGAATGAGGAGATTGCCTTGGCAACTTAATTGTTGCTATGATACCAGCTGCAAGTGCGAAGAGAGAAGCAAGAACGAATGCAGGTACATTACCCCCACCGAAAAGGGCATCCCATGGACCAGCCCCCAGTGCAACTATCATCTGCACAAAACAGGAGCCCAAAGACATAAGTTTCTATTTACTTGTTGTTGGGTAAGAAACGTAAGTTTGTTTCTGCATCATGAAACTTCACCAAATAAACTTCAGAAAAATAGACAAGCAACTGAGTGTTAAGATCATGTCTATAAGTGGTCAATAATCAATTGGGTGCAAAATTTCTTAATATTATGTAATGAAAGTCAAGCATAAGGCTGAACATAAAATGTATGTCAGATAATTTAACCACTTTGCATGGGGAATCTACATTAAATGGATAAGAAAATGGGGCGCTAGTGGAGAAATAAACCACCAATTGAACCCAACAGAACAACACTGTAAAAGAAGGATAACCAGGTCACTCTTTCTTGCCATTTATCTTTGCCAAAAGGATAAAACATGATATCCCATATCTACAAATTGCAAACATACCAATTGTTTATTTACATATTGCAAATGTCAAGACTATGGTACAGACTCGCCTCAGGGTTATGAATCCGCAAACACAATGTAGTTGGATTAAATTAAGTAAGATACCCATATCTGCATCCATATGTTGAATATCTAGAAATATAGAATCATATCCCTACTGATGCGCATGAGTACACATCGAGGTGACCATCTTAGAAGGGACCAAATTCCTGAGGACCTGTATTTATTCTTATGGATGCTCATTTTTTAAGTGCTTACCTCTATATATAGGAAATGTCATTGCCCAGGTAAACACTTGTAGCAGAGGATGTTGGATTAGGTTTGCCTTTTCGCTTTTAATAGCATAGTACTTCTTTAATAAAAATTTTGTTTAACTGAATTCATTTCTATAAATAAATAAAGCAATTAACAAATAAGATTTACTAAACTCGCAAAACCATTGTAAATGAGGGTCATGAATGAAGATCCATTGGGGAGGCAGAACACATAAACAGGAGATCCCGACACCAAGTGCTAGATGATCCCGTCCCAACTCAACTCAACAGTTGAAACCATTCAAAAACAGCATGCTTTATACTCGGTATCAATTCCTAAATTCATACAATCCTACAAATAAGAACCACATAATTATCATGTGACACGCCGAATACAGAGCAAGTATTTATTCTGTGGGCCACAGATGATGAAATAGAGTACAGGATTGATTGCATAGATATCCAGATTTCACCACCTAGAAATTTATGCCAGTTCATTAATAAACAACACATACCTGGGGTACCACAATAGCAAGATTTAGAACACCTATAGCCAGTCCTGTAAAAAAGAATTATCATGTATTAAAGTTGCAAGGAAACTACAAAAGAAACTTTTAGGTATTCATTTTATACAAACCTTGACCACCTCCACTGTTAGCAGTCAACTCTGCCGTCACAGAGAATGGAACACTATATGTAATCTGCAACAGAAATGTTCCACAACAGTGAAAATTCCAAGGTAAAATCTCAGTCGAAAGATGGGCAAATCATATTCCATTTCCTTATAGTATACAGAACTCCAAATATATGAAGGATAAGGAAGTATAATACAGTCCACTTGACTATGGTAAATGGAACACCAACGCCATATTCAACATTTGTTCACAGCAACGGATGGCTAGAGATCAACTATACCAACAGGAATGTTATTAATCTCATCCATCACTCGGGGAACAGATGGTGGACATAGCATGGAGTACCACATGTCATAGTCCATTGGGACTATGGTATGCTTCTCCCAAGTAGGATGCATCAATAAGGTGACATCAGCGTCAATTAGTGGTACTCACAGCAAGGGGAAATCCAAGAAGAGCAAATATAACCAACGAAGCAACTTTAACTGCACTACTCTTTCCAATGACATGCTGGATTCCTTGAGCATGTTCCCTGATGGAAAACACACTAATGATTGCAGTGCATGCCATGCATACAAATACAATGAAATTGCTCATTGCCCATACTGAACCAGAACCAATCCATTGACACATTGGATCGATAAGGAAAGAGCTGATCCCAAGAACAACCTGACCAGGAAAGCAAAAGAGAGTTATATATGCCATACTAGGTATAACTGATATTCAACCATTATGATAAGTTAAAGTTTCTTCCTTAATCTCATACGACCTTAGTACATGGGAATTGATTTCCTAGAAAAATTCATTGATCAAACTTGAGTTCTTACTGAATTCAATAGCAAACCAAATGCACCTTCTCTGACTCCTCTGTCATAAGCCGCTACCTTTGACACATCTCCTTTTGGATCTCCATGGTAAACTTCACGACCCATCCAATCAGTGTCAAAGAGAAAGAATGGAAACCATGACAACTGAAGGTAAACAAACTAAGGGTCAGAAAGCCATCTCCCAAAAAGAAATTAGAAAGGTAATAAAAAAAACAAAATTAATAACCTTGGGGCGACCTATGAAGAAATGGAAAACAGTGATAGAGAGTGAGTGAACCACCAGAAAATGACATGACCCCAATGGTGGGTCCCACCACTCTCTCTCCATCATCTAATCCTACAATCATGCATCATTGTGAAACATCCAGATTACAGGCATAAAAAAAAAATGGTAGAAGGCATACCCAACTAAGAGCCATGACTACGAGCACAGAGTGCATAGCTGGAGGTAGATGTCTCATGCTTGTTAAAAGATTGACCAAGACTGCTCCAGGTCCATCATTATATATCCCCTCCTCATCCTCTTTGTTTTTATGGCCGACATACGTTGAAGTATCAGCATTAGTTTTAGCATGACCAGATGCAAGATTGCCAACTGATTTCTCAGATGCCATATTGAGATGTCTTTGCCCATGGTCATCGGTGCCATCTAATAAAGGAGCAGAATCAGACAGGTTATGCACTTGCCCTGGGGCTAGTGGAACCTCTCGAGCAAAATAGAGGGTCACAAGAGTACAGAAACCGAGAAAGAGCTGCATAGAGAAAATAAGTTTTTTATTGCATAAAACTAAAAATTGCATAAAATTTTTTTTGGTAAAGTTATGTTCAAATTTGATCCTCACCACAGCTATGAGGAAAGCTGCTTTCAAATTTCCACAGGCTGCACAGCAAGCTTGTGTGGTCAAGAACGGGAACCACCTGCTCAAGAAGAGCATATAATAATAAGAATAAATGCAGTACTAAGCAGCACCACATCAATGTCTAACATAAGCTATAATAAGTACAACAATAAATATTGGGCATACAGGAAGTGGATAGCAAGAAATAAAAGCATAAGAAAAACCATTAAAAATTTAATAAAATAATGAAAATAGCAATTGTCATGTCAGTTAGAATGGTTTTGCCAAGAGCATGGTACTTGTAATAGTGTCACCATTTCACTGTTATAGAAACTACTGTCTACAAAAAATATAAAAAAAATATAAAAAATAAAAAGAATAATACCTGTGCCAATGTCCACTAGCACCAGCAGAAAACCCCAAGATATTCCCAAGTGCCATCCAAGAACAGAATACCGCATTTGCTGCATTTCGCTGGTCAGGACCTGTCATAACACAAAATAACAAAGATCATGATGAATATTACGCAATAATATTGCGTAGAAAAATGTACGGCCTCAAAGAAAGTACAAAACAAAGAATTTTGATATGAACATAACATCACCTGAGAGATCGGCTAATAGTGCACGGGCAGGACCCTGAAATGACAATGAAGCCTTATTAAAGAAGCCGGCAGAAAGCCCATGTATAAATCTTATCCAAGGAAGAAAGGCATGCATAAAGATAAATCCATCCCCTCGTCCAATTTTTAAAGAGTTTTACAATCTTAAACATGACATAGAACACATTAAAGAATGGAAAACACCATACCAAATATGATCACACCAGCCTTACAAAAATAGCACAAACCAAAAAAAGAACACTGTAATGGACCTACTTGTACTGTGTTATTAGCAAGATCCAGCATCCAAAAGCCGATAACAAAGACGAATGCTGCCCATGCACGAGTACCTTTATAGGTACTGTAAGTCATAAAAGATTCTTGGTCAAACCACAAGAGCAATAGTGCATGTCATAACATGAAAGATCATACTTTCATTAAAAACAAGCAACACACAATTTTTTACCTGCAATGCTCCTTCGCATCCCCTAAAAGATATCCAATGTCGGCAGAGAATCCAATAATCATAACCTGATTAGCCAAGGCATTAGGTGTGATCAAAACATGGAAAGCTGTCCAAATGCTTAACTGAAAAATACGACTCGTGAATACTCACTGATATACAAATCATGAGAGACCCAACAAAAATAAACGGCCGCCTTCTTCCATATTTTGAATGGCATTTATCACTCCATATACCAACACATGGCTGAACCTGCATTGCCAAGGTCAGAACAAAGAAATGCACTAGCATGGCAGAACATGGTTTACTTATGACAATGTCATCAACATATACGAGCTCATAATTGTCAGATAAAGACAGTGAAGAATTTAGCATGCACCTCTACTTATATAAACAAGGCTTGTGAATTCCAACACAACGATCCATGGGCTCTCATGGTTTGCAAATATACAATTTAATTAATGAAAATGGTAAATATAAGAAACCCTTTATCTTTCAAGGCTAAAAAAGCAACGGAAATGAGATTTGGCTGGAGGATTCAAATAAAAGCCCATATCTAACGAAACTCCATCGCATTCCCAAGCCCTCCAAGACCAAAACCCAAGAACATATTCCAGGTTATCATTTTGTCATAAGTATATTTACTTTCTTATTGAGGAATATTGCATACGCAGTAGAAGATATTCTCAACGCCATAAGCACAATGCGGATTTCCTTTCAGTATATGGGCAGAATAAATGAATTCAACATTTCATGAGCATAACATGCAAATTGCTCGTCTAATCAAACAATAGAAACCATCTTTATGAAGTCCTCACTTTCTTCCTGGAAATTATTTATGAGGTCGCTCGCCACTACTTGGATTCCATCTTTTGATTGTCAACTGTAACTAACATTGGGCGCACTACCTTGTGAGCATAGTTAAATAATGTAGCAATATCAAATACATATCGTCTCAATCTATATACCATAAAAGGTTCTATTAGGTTTGCATGTGGGCAAGTTACTACAGGGTCATCATAAAACCATTGCAAATAATTGAGTCATCTAAAGATAAGCCACTATAAAGAGCATAAACAAACTTTTCCTTAGCAAACAAAAGGCTCAAATAATTATCAACCAACTCGGTAACCCAAAAACCAATTATTGCTTTTATTTAAGAAATTAAGACAATTTTGCATTGTAATTGAAAAGTATTTTAAACCACAAATGTTTTGGGTTTCCCTTTCCTAGACAAGAAACGATTACAAAAACATGAAACATTTTTACTCCCTAAATGATCATTAATGATATTAGAAATCATTGATAGGATATTTATCGAACAACACCCAAAAGATGAACCATTTAACATTTCACCCATTTCCTCCCATCTACGGACATATCATCATGGGTTAGGAATTCCAGGATTGAGAATTTCCAATTTTGCCCCTCCATCAAACTGAAAGTTAAGTGGTTTTCAAGGAAACCACTTTTTAGCAACGATATACTGCTTTGACATAGGATATTCATTCTAAATTGAAAAGATGCTTACACAGAGCGAAAAGAAAATTTGCTCACACACACAAAACCCAAGGACCCCAAATTTTGGGGACGTGAGCTACTCAACCTCATGACCAACCTACCAGGAGGGCAGGGACAGAGAAAAAAACTTCAATGTGTACCCTGGAAGTTCATAAAAAAAATCATGCCCTAGGACAGCTCATGATCAAATTAAGATGTTTGGGTCATCATCATCATCTTCATAGCCTTTTCCCAATTAATTGGGATTGGCTACACAAATCATGGTCCGCCATTCTGCTATATTAAAGGCTCTACCCTCAGTGAGGCCATAAGTCCCCATATCTTTCCGAACTATTTCTAACCACGTCTTTTTGGACCTACCCCTTGCCCTTTTAAGTCCTTCCACTTGAACTAACTTGCACCTCCTAATAGGTGTTGTACTTGATCAGCACCATATATGGCCAGCCCACCTAAGTCTACTATCTCTCATATTATCGTCTATTGGTGCCACAACTAAATTCTCCTGAATGGAATCATTTCAAATTCTATCCCTTCTTCTCTTGCCATTGATCCATCACAACATCCTCATCTCCGCTACACTCATTGTATAGGTATATTGTTTTTTGTCCGCCCAACATTCAACCCCATAGAGCAATGCTGGTCTCACAGTTGTCCTATAGAATTTGCCCTTCAGCTTTATTGGTATGCGACGATCAGTGTTTCAAAAAGCGCTAGGCGGGCGCCCAGAACCTGGGCGGTCCAGTTGAATCCAAATAAGGATTCTGCAGTGCAGTAATGTCAGTATCAGTTATATGTATTGCAGTACATAATTCAAATTATACTACATATTAGCATTTAGCACACACTCCATAAACATAACCATAATCCATAAGTCGGTTCATACTCCATATCCAATAAAAATTTACAACCAACCAAATTATCAAACCACGTTATCAAATAGTATCACACCAGTACTGCAATACACCACCATGAGGAAGAAAACAAATTTGAATTACGAAACTATGAAAGTAATACTTAAAGACTTAAAAGAATCTTCAATAGTTCAATACACAATACTTCAAAGTTTAATAATTATTCAACAATCAACATTCATCATTCATTCATCATCATAAAATATTGGCTCAGTTGCATTGGCATCATATTCATCAGAGTAGACAGAGTCGTCACCCTCCTCGACATATTGGTCGTCCCCGTCCTCCTCCGTCTCTTCTGAATCAACCTCTTCTTCCTCCTCTTCCTCCATCCTTGTTCTCTATGTAGAAGATCTAGTGGCCCTAAGAAGGTCAACTGATGTCCCTGAAGCATCCATGACCATGTCCCATGTCAATCCTTCATGCCCCTCGACCTCATCATCATCAACTAACCACTCCATAGCATGGTCCATTTTTTTTTATCTAATGGGGTCTCTCTTATCTCTCTTAGCAAACATGTCCTTCAAGAATCGATTGTACTTGACATAGACTAGGTCATTGAGCCTTGTTGATTCAAGCATGTTCCTTTTCTTTGTATGAATCTAACAAAATCCAATGAAACTAATTAAAATCTAATATCTATGATTCATGTATTATTTATAAAATTATACAAATTACCCTTACGGCCTTACCCCTTCAAAAATACTCCAATTGCGCTCACAACCGGATGAAGAAGTGGTTAGATTTAAGATCTGAATGGCCAACTTTTATAAATTTAGAGAACTAAACCCATGTTGGCTCCACCAATGGACTGCAAAGATATAGAATAAAATCATAGATAAATAATAAAATTACTTGATTACTTGAACTTGATGAACTTAACAATATTAATAATACCTAGATCAACTTTGGCCCTTTGCCTCATTGCCATTGGACTTCCAAAAGGCTTTAATGAGCACTTGTAATTTATCAGCTCATTAGCGCATATAATATCCTGCATATCAGGATCAGAGACTAGCACATCTACACACTCATTAAATCCATTCATAAGTGTGTCATTTGTTTGTATATCCTTGTCAATATAAAAAAAAACAGGGTTCAAATAATAACCAGCTACATGCAATGGCCGATGTAGCTGCCTATCCCACTTCTCATCAATAATCTCCCAAACAGGCTTGTAGCGGGTTTCTTCATCATTGAAATTTTGGGTTATCTCTCTTTTGCATTTCTCCATAGCATCATATATATAGCCCATAGAACGTTTGTCACTATCAACCATGCAAAGGACTTTGACAGGAAGAAAAAATACCTTAAGAGCGTCCTTAACCCCTCTCCAAAAAGCCTTAAAAAGTATAATATCTCTCACCTTCTTCCCAACCTGATCCTTAGACCGCTTGCATGCTCTCCACTCATCAGAGATAAACATTTGCCTCAACTGCACTCTCCTTGAATGTATGCTATCTAGGCATAACTACTAGGCCTCACAATCTCTTTTTTCTTTGTAAAGGTACGCATCATGCTGAGGATAAGATGGTGGTTATAAATGAAATTTGTAACTAACTTGGCCTTCTTGACTACACTTGATATCTCGGTTAAACCATCAAGAGCCTCAAGCATGAGGTCTATACAATGTCCTGCACATGGTGTCCAAAAGATTCTAGGATAAGCTATGCACAACAAATTAGATGCAGCAACATTAGGAGCAGCATTGTCTTTGACAACCTGTACAATAAGATGCTCCCTAACCTCTTTGATTCCCTTCTCTATCACTTGAAATATGTAATATGTAATGGGCATCATGGATATGATCAGAGGCATCAATAGACCTCAAAAAGATAATCCCTGCAGGACAATTCACAAGCAAATTCATCTGACTTCTTCTCTTCCTATCACTTAAAGCATCAGTCATAATAGAAACCACATACTGAGCCCATGCATCCTTCTTAAGTTCTACAGCTTCCTCCGTGACACTCACCGCTTTTTTTAAAAAAGGCTCTGAAAGCTCATATGGGGTTGGGGGTTTCATCTCAGGGCCAAATTGGCCAACTGCCTCTATCGCAGCATAGAAGCTGCTTAAGCGAGTGGTATTGAAAGGAATGCCCGCCTCATAAAGCCATGTAGCAAGATAATACGCAGCTCTATCTCTCTTTTCCTTCTTGATTCTATTTTCAATGGTGGTTTGCTTTTTTGTTATCTCTCCTGCAACCTCAGGGTCAAGCCGAGGTAAAAAACTATCCATAGGGCCTCTAACCCGAGGCTTCTTAATCTCAGAACCAGAAGCAATTACAACTCCCTTCCCCTTTCCCTTAATAATGGATTGCTCAACCTCTTGACATCCCTCCATTTCCTCATCACTATCATCATCATCAAAATTAACCCAAACACCAGACCTAATCTCCGCTATAGAGGCAAATCTCTCATCTTTTTTTATTTTCACCATGTTCAAAAAATTGTTTATTTCCTCTTTAACAGCATCAGGAATCTTTTTACATGGGGCAACATCCCCCCTAATACCGACAAAGATATTTCTTGAACCGGTTTATGCCCCTTTTGTATCCTTTTCACAAAACTTGCATCTTATGCAATTTTTATCATTAGGATCTGGGTTATAGCTATATTTCCAACCGGGATCACCACTCCTATTAGATCCCGAAGAAGACATCTCAAAAATAATGCAAATTACTATAGCAATAAGAAAAATCACTTTGAGTTTGATTGCTCAATCTTCAAACTTCCACCTCAAAGATGCTTCTAAATACTCAAAATCTTCTAAAAAAAACCCCCTAATAACTTTACAAAACATCAAAAAGTAAATCTAATATTAATAGGTGATGTTTTGATCAATTTTTGTTAACTTTGAGAATTTGATCCTAAAAGATTCACCAGAAACTAGATTTTTGGGGGCTTTCTCTCTCTAAAATTGGCTCCAACAAGTTTTAGGGTTTAAATGAATCTAAAACCCTAATTTTTTGCCCTTAAAAACAAAAACCAATGACGAAAATTGCCCCTACCGAAATCAATTTCTGGCCCTGGGCTGGGCGCTAGGCGCCCGCCTAGGCAGGTTCCGTACCGTCTAGGCGGCCGCCCAAGGATCGACCTCCTAGGCCTGGGCGCATCGCCCAGGCCTTTCAGACAACCTAGGCGCTGGGCGGTCCGCTTTTTGAATCATTGGTGGCAATCACATAAAAATCCAATTCCACATATCCACTTCTGACACCCAACTCTAATTTTGTGTGCCAGATCTTCCTCAATCTCTCCATTTTCCTCGATTATCAACCCAAGATATCGAAAGTGCGCTTTTTTTTGTACTTCCTGGTCGTCAATCTTAACTACTTCCACGTCTCTACTCCTATTTAGTAAGATGTTTGGGTATTAAAAGAAAATGCTAAAAGAAACCCACCAACTTTTTAACAAGTAAATCCTTAGTAACTTGTTGTATTATCTCATGAGAAATTTATCCAATCTAGAGGGAGAGAGAGAGAGAGTCAATCACAACCACACCGAGTTTGATGGGCGTGGAGATGGCAATGACTATGTCAAAAGATGGGGGCTTGAGAGCAAAGGAAGGGGAATAGATCTCAGGTTTTCCCTCTTGGTGGGATGTTCGAAAACGGGAAGGATGATGTTCTATTCCTACCAAAATAATCTGCAAATAAATGGTTTTAAGAAAATCACTTTGGTTTGACCGAGGGGCAGAAGTGAAAAGTGCCCCTCCCACAATTTTGACACATGATGATGTTCCCTTTAATGGGATTTTGAAACTACATAAACAAATAGGATGAAATGTTAAATAGTTGATCTCTCATGTGTGCTTTGATTTATATCAAAGAAGAAATCATATCAATCAATGATGAGACAAGATAGCAATGATCCATTCTAAATGAAATCCGACATCATATGCAAAGTAAATAAGAGAGAACCACTAATAAGCCTACAATATGTAAAGGTATAATGCTAGAACCACCTACCACAAGGCCTGTAATTGGGCCACAAAGCCAAATGAATGAAGAAAATGCATGCCCAATTCCAAGAGTCTGTGATGCGAAAACAAAGAATTAAAAAGCGTGAGTTATTACAATTAACAAAATAAAATATATAGCCATTCCAATACCAATGAGAACCAAAATTGAACAATACTAACCAAACAAAATAAGATATAGGAAACAGTTGTAGACATAGATAGAGATACAATGGATCACCACAAAATAATAGCAATGAACACAAAGATTCCAAGGACACTACAAATCAAAGGTTGAGAGTACCTTGATGCTCACCTCAACTTCATCAAAAATCACAGTACTTTAGAGACCTATACTACAGTGACATGCATGTCATGCGCATTTAGGAGAAGCCAACCTGCCATTACACTAAACACGCATGGAGAACCACGCATACTGACAAGGGAAACCCATGATGACAGTCCCATCAAAAGTTTTCATCTTTCAGATTCAAAAACACAGCAGTCTGTAATGTAGACACACAAGTCGACAGATTGGATAAACCAGACACATATGTCTCTTTCATAAGACATGTGTTTCCCCATAACAAACCAAGTGTGTCCATATCACAAGACGCATGGGCACACACGTCTTATGAGTTGGAAAGGTGTCTTTGAATTGGACCCACATGTTTTATTTTTTAAGTCAATTTTATTATTAAAATGTCAGATATTGGTTTTATACACTCACACACACTTCGCACACGCATGCCTGCACGTGCACACACACACACATGCACACACACAACCACATGTACATGCAAGTTTAATAACCATAGTAGTAGAAAAAGATGATATTTTTTATATCTTAGGTTGATAATCCATGAGAATGGGGAGATTGAGAAAGATGTCGCACATAAAATCAGAACTGGGTGGCTAAGTGGAGATGTGCTTCTAGAGTTTTATATGGTCGCGGCATACGAATGAAATTGAAAGGAAGTCTATAGGATGGTTGTAAGACCAACAATGCTTTATGGGACGGAATGTTGGGCAATCAAGAAACAATATAATCATAGTTGAGTACATTGTGATGAGGATGTTGAGATGGATGAGTGACAAGATAAAAAATGATAGAATTCGGAATGAATACATCAAAGGGAACTTAGAGGTAGCTCCAATTGGCGACAAGATGAGAGGAAGTAGACTCAGGTGACTGGCTATGTGCAGCATCGACCTAGAACAACACCAGTTAGTAGGGGCGATTTGGTTCAAGTGGAAGACTCTAAAAGGGGCAAGGGGAATACCCAAAAGGACATGGATAGACTCAGTGAGAAGAAATATAGTGACTTGTGGTTTTGACTGAGGGTATGGCCGTTGATAGAGCAAAATAGAGAAACAGTATTTGTGTAGCCCAACCTATATAATTGGGACAGGGCTTAGACGATGATGATGATGGTATAGACATGCATACATATACATACAATCATATAACACACTCACACACGAATTCGAGTTAGACAGATTCTTGCATCCATGTCTCGTAACATACTTGTTTTTCATCTCGGAATTTCTTTTATGGTATATTCTACTTGGCTTGGCAGATTCTCCTCATTAATATCTTCTATTTTTATTCAGATCTTTCTTTCTATTAATTTCGATACGGAATGCATTGACCCATCAAATTCTCTTTACTTGTCCCAGATTCCTATTTAACTGGCATTGACATTGAATTTCGAGAAAGCCTTACAAACCCTTCAACTTAATATTATCTTCTTTATCTTCTAGAACAACTATAGATGCCTCTTCTGTTCCAAACAAAAGAAAAAAAAGGGTAAAGAATAGGAAGTTTTCAAGTAATTGGATTAAACCATACATCACAATGTGAGAAGTTTGAATAACTGTTAAATTTAAAAGGCTACAATGCATGGAACATGCTAAAGTCATTACAAAACTTAATACAGATAAAAATTTCCAGATTCATTATGGAGAAACAATGAATTTACTAAACTAAGAAGGATAAGAACAATGGCGATAAGAGGATAAGAGAAGTAGTGAATTTGTGATGGCCCTAGCCATGCTAGGAAAAGCGCCATTAGTAACTCAACAGCACCAGAGAAGAGTGTGACAAATCATGCATTAATAGCAAAACCAGGAAATCTATTAGTAGAGAAGAAGCATCATTCCCGAATTTTAACAATGGCATTTCTAACCAGATACATCATTTAGTTTGAAATGATAGGCCATGGAATATCCTAATTGAATAACCATAACAACATAATACTTACCAAGAGAGAGAGAGAGAGAGGGAGGGAGAGGGAAAAATAACAAATAGGACATAATTTACCACAATTTAAATTCAAATTACTCCCTGCTTTCACATCAATCTATTTTTTATACGTCTTACAGATTGTATCACCAAAAATGCAAAAAAATGAAATCAGTGAACAAATTCAACAAAGACCTAACTAACTTCAAAACAATCTTCCTCACACTATAAAGCAAAGTAACTCGAATTAAAATCAGAAATTACTCAAATACCTCTCGAAAATAAACTCATTTTCCTATCAAAAGATGCAAATTTGCAAACAAAATCTTTATGCTCATTAGTAGCACTCTATCTCATTACCAAAACGTTGATTACCACAAAATTCTGTAAAATACACAATTTGCAAAGCAAAGACATCAAATCAACAAAAAATCACCAGATCTGAAATCTCTAAAAACTCTACAAAATAGAAGGAACATTAATATACTCACCTGTATATAAGGCGTCAAAAGAGAAAGTTGCAAAGCCCATCCAAATTGAACACCAGCCGCAATGGTAGAACTCAGTATCAGAGTCCTTAAGCTACCAGAATTTTCCCCAGAAGTCTCCTTCTCATGCGGGATATCTGATTCAGACTGACCGGAACTTCCATCTAATTCGACCAACTCAAGCTCTGACGCATTCAAATGCCTATAGGGCACACGGATCGGAGCTGACTGCATTTCTCCACCATTAAAACGTACAGGTAGGCCCTTTCAGACAAACATTTACGTCCATAAAAGACTCAAACGCCCATATAAAACAAGTATTTGCATAGCCCTATGGTTCCAAAAACGCTTAGAAATCGCTTTAAAGAGAAGAATTTGCAAGAGACCAAGGGTCCGGAACCCTGTGAAATGGCGTCTAAAGGAGGAATTTGCAGAGATTAGGGTTTCTTAAACCGACACAGCGGGGTGTTTTGAGATCAAAGAATGACGGCGGGTCAAGTTTTGTTTTTGTTTTTGTTTTTTAACTTGGGATACAGAGAGAGAGAGAGAGAGAGAGAGAGAGAGAGAGAGAGAGAGAGAGAGAGATATAATAACGAAAACGGAAGGAAGGAGGAGGAGAGAGAGAGAGAGAGAGTAGTAGTAGTTAGTAGTGTGTAGTCGTACTGTATGTCGTGTACGTCGTCGTGTCGTTCGTC